TAATTAAAAATAAGCCAACACAGGGTTCGAAAAATAATTATTTTAGAAATAATAATTATACAAACGTCAATAGATTCAATAATAATAAACACTTTAGTAACAATTATATTCCTAATAATAATTATAGACCTAGTATCAAACCTAACTCTATTCAAAAGTAAGTGATATGCTTTCGTTGCGGTAAGGCAAACCAAATAGCGAAAGATTGTAGAAGCTATGCCATACAAATGATTCTGCCACGGACACCTCGCCTGTCATTTTCAAATAAAGCAACCATCGATGCCAAGATAAATGGGTTGCAGCTAGCTATGGAGTTTGATACCGGCGCCGCGTGTAGTGTGATTGATGAGGTCACCTGGAATCGTATTGGCAGACCACAACTATCACCGGCTTATAAATTAGTGGGATATAATCATATCCAAATCGAAGTACTAGGTAAATGTACCGTAGAAGTCAAAGTAAAAAATATTTCGAAATTTTTACTTATTTGGGTAGTTAAAGGGGAGAATTTCCTTATTTTTGGGATGCCTTTCATTAGAGAATTTGATATAAAACTACCGGAAGAAGTTCGTATTAATAAAATAAATATGAATATTCCCTCTTTAAATACGATTGCTTCAAAATTCCCTCAAGTTTTTAAAAAAAAATTAGGTGAAATCAAACTGCAAAAGGCAGTCATCCGAATAGAACCGAACACGTTACCGATTGCATTACCAGCAAGAAGAGTTCCTTTTCCGTTGCGTCGAACCATTGAAGCTGAGTTGGACAGACTTTTAGACGAAGGCGTTATTGAGAAGGTGGATCCAACAATAACTCCAATCACTTGGGCTACGCCAACGGTTAATATCTTAAAGAAATCCAGTGCCGTACGGATATGCGGAGATTTTTCGTTTAACAATCAACAAATATCTAGCGATCGATAACGATTTACTACCAACTTTCGTCGACCTAACAAATAAAATCGCGGGTGGTAAAATATTTTCAACAATAGATTTAAGAGATGCATTTTTACAATTCGGAGTTAGTCCAGAATGTAGGGAGTAATTTCGACACATGTCGGTTATTACCGATACCAAAGAATTCCATTTGGTTTGACTAGCGCTCCGATAATATTCCAACGCTTTATGAAAAACCTATTAAAGGGAATTCCTATGGTTAGTGTATTTTTAGACGACATAATTATTGCAGGTGAGAATAATTCCGATCACATAGTTAATTTGGAAGTAGTATTAAGAAGATTTGAGAAGGCTAGACTGACCACGACGACCGATAAAATTAAAATCGGAGAAAAGTCAGTCACTTATTTAGGTCATGTTATTGACAGTTTCGGAATTCACCCTACAGAAGATAAGATTAGCGCTATAAAAAATTTTAAAACACCTTCCAATGTTAAAGAACTACGTTCATTTCTTGGAATAGTGAATTATCATGAGGCATTTATTAAAAATTTGCATTCTATTTGTGCGCCTTTACACCGACTAATGAGTAAAAATGGTTGGTTTTGGTTAGCTAAAGAAAATGAAATATTTACTAAAGTTAAAAATATATTGTCAAAAGAAGATACAATAATTCCTTATTCAGCCGATATCCCTGTCGTGATTTCTTGTGACGCTTCCGAAGATGGTCTAGGAGCTGTTATTGCACATCGATTTCTTACTGGCCAGGAGAAACCGATTGCTTACGCATCGAGGACACTTTCGGCGGCTGAAAAGAATTATGCCACAATTGATCGGGAGGCTTCGGCGATCATGTTTGCTATCGAGAAGTTTCATCAATATATTTTTGGAAGACATTTTATCTTGGTTACTGATCATAAACCATTACAATATATTTTAGGTGATAAAAGAGATCTTAACAAAATAACAAATAACCGTTTAATACGGTGGGCGACGAAACTATTAAATTATGATTATGAGATAATATATAGACCAGGTAATCATAACAAATGTGCCTATGCTCTGTCCCGTTTGGGGGTAGAGAAAGCTAAAAATTAATTTAATAGAAGATTTATCTTTCACTCGCAGTAAAGTCGTAAGTGAAACGAGCAATGATATAAACCTAAAAGAGATTATTAAATTAATAAAAAAATCATTGGTATATTGATAATATAAATAATTATTCGGAGATTGTAAAAAAATATATTTCGATTAAAGATAATATTTCGTTCGAAGAAGTATTATTATTTTATAATGATAGCATTATTATTCCAGATATTTTTAAAAAGGAGGTTTTATATGTGATTCATCGAGGACATCCTGGGATAGTAGGGATAGTAGGGATGAAATCATTGTGTAGATATTACGTTTTTTGGACAAATCTCGATACTGATGTTAAAGACTTTGTTAAATGTTGTAAGAGTTGTCAAGAAGGAAGGCCGGGAGCTAAAGAAGTGCCATTATACAATTGGAACATTCCTACCCGACCTTGGGAACGATTACACATTGATTTGACAGGCCCCGTATCTGGAAAGTTTTGGTTAATTTGCGTAGACGCTTTTACCAAATGGGTTGAAGTTGCAATTTTAACACATTAATTTGGCGAGTGTAATAAATAATCTGCGTAATTATTTCGCTAGATTTGGGTTACCTCGCTACATTGTCTCAGATAACGATACTCAGTTTACTGGATCTGAATTCAAAACGTTTCTTTTTAAAAACAATATTAAACATTTTAGATCGGCCCCTTATAGCCCCAAATCGAATGGTTTGGCTGAACGATATATATGGACGATAAAGACGCGTTTCTATGCTGGAAGGAGATGTGGGACTCCGGACCAGTTAAATTTAGCGAATGTTTTAATTACTCACCGTAATACTCCCAATGCAACTACTGGTAAATCCCCTGCCGATGATGTTTGGAAGGTCGCTTAGGACGACATTAGATCAGTGGAAATTATCAACGAGAGAAAGCACGGAAAACGCTCTATGGAAACAAAAGTACTACAAAGATAGAAGTGTTAAACTTCGGGAGTTTGAAGAGCAGCAAAGAGTTTGGATAGCAAACGAAAGGACAGCAGGGTGGCATGAAGGAAAAGTGTTACAACGAAAAAGCGCAATATTGTACGATGTGGAATCAGAGGGGATCGTTAAAAACAAGCATGCAGATCAATTGAGGGATGCACATACACAAGAGAAGGAAATACCCGTTACGTTGACCGAAGAAGTGGAAAAGGCAGAACATGAGAATACAACTCTTGAAAAAGAGTTTCGAAACCCCCACTACGTTATCACGATGAATTCAATTTATAGTGGGGAGAACTGTAATATAAATGTAATTGTAAATTGAATTTAAATTGAATATAATATTAACTTTTCGTTTGTAAATTACATAACCTGAAGGATTGAATTCATTATATATATATACATGATATTTTGTGTTAAATATACTTTTACTTACTTTACTTATTTTACTTATTTAATAAAACATTTCAATAACTTTTGATGAAATTTTTTATTGTCATTTAAAATATTTATTAAATTTGTAAAACGCTTGCTTAATTATATAATTTGTAATTATATACTAAAATTTATCATAATTTCACCCATATAATATATTTGTATTAAGTATTTAATATAACTATTGATGAAATTTTTTATTGTCATTTAAAATATTTATTAAATTTGTAAAACGCTTGCTTAATTATATAATTTGTAATTATATACTAAAATTTATCATAATTTCACCCATTGATATATATTTGTTTGTTAATTTATTTTTCTAGTGGTATTTAATTTTTTATTATTTTTAGCGATTATTACTTTTAGCGATTTAGAACGGGAACCATCATTTTGTGTGGCCGTGACTAGAGCTAGCACCCGTGATATTTAGTAAAATATACTAAAGCTAACACCATGATAATTAATAACATTTTATCACGTGACAATTCATTTTCATATGATAACCCGCTTAATTTAAAAATATATTTTAATGTTTCTATTTTTTGAATTAGACAAAGTTAGTAATAATTTTTGTAAATTGATTAATTAAATATTAAAATTTTATTTATAGATATGCCTATAGATGTATAGAACCTCCATAGTCCATACAAGCAATTCAAATTCGGAATTAATTTATATATTGCAAGGTCTACATTGTTAAAAGCTCCCCATCCTGAAGAGCTCATAAATCTTTTTAAATATCAAAAGGTTTATTATTCTTGTAAATATGGGGGATCCATACAAAAAAATCGCTCAAAAAATATAAGGAATACTTCAACATTTCGTAAAATGTGCTCTTTTAAATTTACAGTGTGTCTAAAATACAAAGATACTACCCACTTCCTACAAATTGTGACTATGGTCAATAAACATACAAACCATGATTTAGGTAAAATTTTACATAATAAATTTATAATAATCATAATTAGATAAAAATACATTTGAATCTCTTCCTAAACAAAGAGTACTTTCTCTTGAAGAGAGAGAATCAGTTGAAAAGTACTTAAACTTAAAAGCTAACAAGCTAAAAATACAAGAATCCATGCTTAAATTAGGAAAAAATATCACCCTTAAAGATATTCACAATTTACAAACTAATATTAATAAATCAAAGTGTAATGATTTAGCCAGCATTTTCCAGCTGCTTAAAGGAAATAAAGGATCTATTGTTGAGGTCACTGAAGAAAATGATATTCTATTAGGAATTTTTTTTCAAGATGAGATGATGCAACATAATCTCAAAAGATATCCAGAGGTTATGTTTGTGGATGCAACCTACAAGCTAAATAATTATGGGATGCCTCTCTTCATTACCTTAATAATTGATGGAAATGGTGAATCACAAATAGTGTCACTTTGGCTTGTACAAAGTGAAAGCTATAAATGTGTAAAAAAAATGTGTGATATTATAAAATATCATAATAATAATTTAACAAAGCTTGAAGTTATTGTGGCTGATAAAGATATGGCAGATAGAAGTGCCTTCTATGAAAGTTTCCCAGCAGTAAATATTCACATATGTTATTTTCATGCTTTGAGGATATTTAAAAAAGAGATTACAGCTGAAAAGAGAAAAATTACTACATCTGAAGTTAAAACAGTGCTGGAAATACTAGGAAAAATGGTATACAGTAAGACTGAAGATGTATACAATTATCTTTACGAGAAACTTATAGATTTAAAATTGCCCTTAGTTTCTTTGTATTTTAATACACATTGGCACTTTATTAGAAAAGAATGGGTGATATATTGGAGAAATGAGTCACCACATCTGCTCAATTTTACTAACAATCGTTTAGAATCTCTTAATCAAAAAATTAAAAGAGTTGTAAATAAATATTCTCCTTTAAATGATCTTTTTTCAGATTTATCAACAGTAGTTAGTTCTCAAGCCTTTGAAAGGCATCACAGAAATATAATGTGTATTGAGAGGCTACCATGTGTCACCTACGCATGTTATACTCCAGAAAATTTGTATTCAATTCTTTTAACACCATATGCCTTTAAAATTATTTTAAATGAAATCTCATTTCATAATCAAATACATCTATTAAATATTGATACTATTTTAAACCATGCGTTGGTCTGTGAAAAGGGTGTAGAATTTAAAATTACACTAAAATCATGTGCATGTGGCTTTTTGACTTGCATAAAGCTGCCTTGTCGCCACATATTAGCACTTCATGCTGCCTTAAAATTGGATATTTATCTTAATCATCTCTGTGGAGAGAGGTGGACTAAAAAATATACACAGGATAGCTCAATATTGTCACCTGAAGATTCTTCTCTGTCTCAGTCATATTTAAACATTTCCCAACATCATGATTTTCCATGCACAAAAAATTTGTCAACCAATGAAAAATTTAAACAAGTTCAAAGAATATTGATGCCCTTTTCAAGTTTAACATCTCAGCTTCCTCAAGAAATTTTTGATGTATTTATCGAAAAACTAAAAAAACTTGATAGTATAGTTCAAGCTGGAAAATATTTTGATATCATTGAAGTGAATCAAAGTATATTTCCCAATCCCATAGTTATTCCAAAGATAAACATTATACAATGTTAGATTATATTTTATATAAATAAATTTTTAAATATGGAATATAGATACAAATGTAATAATCCCTATCATAAAATCAATATCAATTATTCCTAAGACTGAGAAAATTGTAGATATTGATGAAACTCTCCAAAAATTAAAAAGTATCAAACTACCACTCAAAATGAGAAAAAAAGGTAGATCCAGAAAATCTGATTTATCAGTAATAGGAATTTCAAATAAAAAGGGGAAATTATCATCATCAAGTAACATAATTAAATTTTATATAATAAATTCAAATTATAGATAAGATATTACCAATTAAAATGGGCATCCACTCACAACCAAATTTAACACTTGTTGAAAACCCAAAATTGAGCTCTATTTTATCATCAAGTTACAAAATTAAATTTTATATATAATAAATTAATAATTCTAGACAGCAAAATAATATTACCTATCAAAATGGGCCTATACTCACAACCAAATAAGACTTTTGTTAAAAATGCAATGACAAAAGATACTAACAATATACCCCAAACCTTAAAATTTACTCTTAGTTTGTTGTAATATACAAAATTATTTTATTTATTTAGTAAATAAAGCACATTCTAATACCAATCAAAAGGGTTGTATTCCATTTTTAGAAAATTACCTACCTAGACCAAATGTGATATGTATGATTATGAGATTTTATATTCTATTATAAAATTAAATTTTAGTGGATCAAATTGCACATAAATATAGACCTCTCAAAACTTCATTCAGTACTTTTAAATTTATAATGTGACAATAATGATTTTAACTTTTTTAGAAAAAATTCAATCTACACAAGATCCAATATTCATTTTTCAGCCAACAACATCGGAATGGAAAAAATATCATTCTGAAATTTTAGGCCTAACCTTAAATGCACCTCAAAATTCTCAAAATTTAACATCCACAAACTTAGGGGATCCCGATAAGGTCGACCAAGTCCTAGGTGATGGAAATTGTTTATTCAGGTATTTTATATTATCACTTAAATTATCTTACTAATTCTTATTATAGATGTATTAGCAAGGAGATTAGCAATAATGAGGAATATCATGAGATGATCAGGATGGCTATTATTTCTTTTATGATGCAACATTCCAACTACTTTTCTGGATTTATAGGGATAAAAACTACTGATTACATTGTGAAGAATAAAATGGGCTGCAGTGGCACATGGGCAACAGATGTGGAAATTGCATGTGTCTCAACATTGCTTCAAACAAGAGTGTTTGTTTTTTATGACAAATGGCTTGCCTTTGACCCTTTATTTATTATTCCTGAAATAAAAAATTTTTTCTGTTGCATTTATATAAAGAATAAAAATTATCATTATAATTTAGTTTTGTCCTGTAAATGATATATTTATATATATAACCATTTTATGAGAATATTTTTTTTAGTCTTATTTTTTTACTATAAAAGTTTTAGTTATCTATTTATATTTATACACAAAAGTAATTTTTATATTTTTTTTACTATAAATACATCTTTATAAATATTTAGTCTATATACACAAATAAAAGTACATTATTATACACTATTTGAAGTTATTTTTTTTAGCCAATATACTAATACATATTCTCCAATACAAATAAATAGCAAAGAAATATATTTAACAAAAAAGATATATACCTTTTAGATTTTATCTTTTATTTGCTTATCATTTAAAATTAAGTTATGTAAATTAAAATAATAGAAAAATTAGCAGAACCATCTTGTCAGTTTATAAATGTGTAAAATACTTAGAAAAATTTTATTTTTGGGTATTGGTCTCTGATAAAAATTGTAAATATCATTATTGGTTGTATGGCTTAAAACTTTTTATATTAAAACAAATTAAGAAAATAAGCAAAAAAATGTTTTGGTTCTTTTTATATTTAATTTTAAGTTTGGGACAAAACAATTAGAGTATGAAAAAAATGGGCTATGATTGAGCTAAAAAAAATTAGGCCAGATTGGTTACATTCTTTTAAATTAACATGATAAAATTCAAAATTTATTACAAATTGTTTATATTTTATTGGCACATATAAATATTTTACAATTAATGGTTATTGTAACTATATATAAATGAACAATCTTTTGTGAATTTGAATTGCTTGTATGGAGGTTCTATTTATAAGCATATCTATAAATAAAATTTTAATATTTTACAATTAATGGTTATTGTAACTATATATAAATGAACAATCTTTTGTGAATTTGAATTGCTTGTATGGAGGTTCTATTTATAAGCATATCTATAAATAAAATTTTAATATTTTATAAATATTTTACAATCAATGGTTATTGTAACTATATATAAATGAACAATCTTTTGTGAATTTGAATTGCTTGTATGGAGGTTCTATACATTTATAAGAATAATAAACCTTTTGATATTTAAAAAGATTTATGAGCTCTTCAGGATGGGAGTTTAATGTAGACCTTGCAATATATAAATTAACTAGGCATGACTGCTCATTAATAATGCTACTAAGTGAATCACATGATGAAAATATTGCTCCTAAATGTATCATCTGTAAATAAAATTTTAATATTTAATTAATCAATTTACAAAAATTATTACTAACTTTGTCTAATTCCGAATTTGAATTGCTTGTATGGACTATGGAGGTTCTATACATCTATAGGCATATCTATAAATAAAATTTTAATATTTAATTAATCAATTTACAAAAATTATTACTAACTTTGTCTAATTCAAAAAATTGAAACATTAAAATATATTTTTAAATTAAGCGGGTTATCATATGAAAATGAATTGTCACATGATAAAATGTTATTAATTATCATGGTGTTAGCTTTAGTATATTTTACTAAATATCACGGGTGTTAGCTTTAGTATATTTTACTAAATATCACGGGCGTTAGCTCTAGTCACGGCCATTTTGTGTTTATGGTTCCACACGAAATCGCCAAGTTCAAAATAGACAAATATTTTTGTACGTAATTTAAAACACCACAAGTAATATAATATTTCCTATATAATAAAATACAAATATATAATATAGTGTAATATAATATAAAATATATAATAATAATATAATACTAATACTAATAATATAAAATAATAATATAAACTAATAATATAAACTAATAATGTAATACACTATAATACTAAAATAATGTATTATTATAATGTGTAATAATATAATATAAAATATACAATAATAATATAAAACCAATATAATATAATACCAATATAATATAATACCAATATAATATAATACCAATATAATATAATACCAATATAATATAATACCAATATAATATAATACCAATAATGTAATACCAATATAATATAATACCAATATAATATAATACCAATATAATATAATACCAATATAATATAATACCAATATAATATAATACCAATATAATATAATACCAATATAATATAATACCAATATAATATAATACCAATATAATATAATACCAATATAATATAATACCAATATAATATAATACCAATATAATATAATACCAATATAATATAATACCAATATAATATAATACCAATATAATATAATACCAATATAATATAATACCAATATAATATAATACCAATATAATATAATACCAATATAATATAATACCAATATAATATAATACCAATATAATATAATACCAATATAATATAATACGAATATATATTAAAGTACCATTCTGAAAATATGGTCATCCTAATTTAAATTTTAAACAAACCAAATGATTTATTACTTAGTTACAAAATATAAAATTAAATTTAAGAAATTGTTATTAAATTACATAGAAAAAATAAAAAGATATGTCTAAGTTAACAAATAATAGGAGGTAAACTTCAATCATAGTCAAATAAGTAAAATTTATAAAAATCTATTCTTGCTAGATAAGAGTTTGTGTTACCAAAGTGTGCTTTGTCCCTTCCATATCTCTCTTATCTTTTTCAGATACCCCAATATAATGGTATAAAATCCTAAATTATACATAAATTCAAGAATTAAAATAATATTTAAATAAATCTCTAAATACTATTGAATGGGTACTTGCCATTTAAAGTTCTACCTTATTCCTATTGAATTGGTACTTGATGCATTTAAAGTTCTATTTACCCCTAAATATTCAGAAATATGTATAATATTAGGTGTGTGTTCAGTGCATTCAATACACTGGCAAAATTTTAAAAATGTCAACTATTAATTAATTTATGAAAGTTGCATGGGATATGGTTTTTTGATCAGGCCTGGCTATGTCTGCTAAAAAAATTTCAGACCAATCTATAACCCATATTTAAAATTCAAAATTAAAGCACCTCTATTTTAAATTTTATTCAATATGATTTCTATTAGAGATCTGCAAAATTAGGCCCGGCCTAATATTTTTAAAAAAATTTGGGCCGGGTCGGGTCGGATTTTGGAAATTTTTTAAAATATATCCAAATTTATCAATTTTATATTGAATTTTTTATGATAAATAAAAAATTTTGATTTTATTTATTGAGACTAAACGCCATATAACATATGTCTTTTATTTTGAGTAATTATAAAATTTAATTTCTATATTTATATAAATTTGGGTCGGGCCGGGCCGATAAAACTTTTGAAAAAAATTTCGGTTTCGGGCCGGGCCGGCAAAACTTTTTAAAATAAATTCGGGCCGGGCCGGGCTTGAAAAATTACCCTGTACTAACTTATATGAATGAAATGATGTTGATTTATTATTGGATAAAAATAAAACAGGATAGAAAGAAATTTACAAACTAGACATGTTTTTCGAATAAATATTTAAAATTTATTTTTAAAATATAAAAATAATCAATTAATGTCTCTCAAAATTATTACTTATATATTGAAAATGTTTAATACTAAAAAAAATTGCGGGAGAAATTAAAAAATTGCTGTAGATTTTTGCGGGAGATTTCCAATTGCTGTAGTTTTGCGGGAGAGAGATGTCTGCGTGTAAACTAAAAAATTGCGGGAGTCTCCCGCTGATGGGGGGAGACATGGCAACCCTGGCCACCACACACCCTTAAAGGAATTAAATTATTTTGCAGTTCTCGGGTATAGGCTTTTGTTTTGCCCAATTCTTTTTGTTATTAGTCTATAGACGTTTAAACAACAGTTCTCCGACTGTTGTGCGTATAAGTACGTGCGGCTTGCCCACAAACGTGTGAAGAGCTCCTCATTGTCTCCCCCCCCCCCATAATTAACTATCCAGTTTGAGGGATTTTTGAGGAAAACCTAGCGTAGCTCTGTTGTATCCACAACCAGAGGGCGATAACGCTCTTATCACGTATCACGTAATTTAATATTATTAACAAATTATTATATAATTTAATATATCCAATTTAACAAAATTCAATGTGCCCATTTTATGTATATATATTTTATTTAATCTTAAGTTGACCTTAAAATGTTTCTTTTATGATATCATTTAGAATGTGATTGATATCTCTGGATCAGGCTTGTTAATCGATCCTTTTAAAAAGATCGAATCCCGATCACGATCTTTTGGAAAAAAGAGGATCGAAATCCAGGATCGAAATTTTTTTTAAAATAGGATCGCGATCGCGATCACGATCACGATCCTTTTCTTATTTAAATTTCTGATCAATACAAAATTAACTAATATAAAAAATAAATAAATTGGTATAAATTTATTGTAATTGAATTAATATAAGTATAACAATTAGAATATATTTATTTATAATTAAATTAGCCTTTAATAATAAATTTTTTTCTAAATTATCATCATTTAAACAACCACGTTTTTCATTAAGTACATGTTTAGCTTTACTAAACAAGCGCTCCACTAAAAGTGTGTTATATTCAATAAAAGTTTTTTTTTAATTAACATAATTATTAAAAATATTCACTGAATCATCATTAGAATAAAAAAAATTATTAATGGAAAGAGCATTTTGTAACGAGTTTTTCCCAAAAAAGGTATCGATCCAGGGGCGTCGCTAGCCTTTGCAATCTCAGGGAGATCAACTATGAAATTTTTTATGGGGGGGGGGCGCCCCCCATAGCCCCTAATTTGTGGGCCTTCGGCCCGCTTTTGCCCGGCCTTCGGCCGGGTTTTATATTAATATATCAAACTTTATTAAAACTTGATAACTCTGAACAATTATTCTGAATTTCATATTTTGTCATTTATCATATTATAACAAAATTAACTAGCATATAATTAATTATAACAATAAAGACATTTCTAAAAATAATATTTTTTAATATAAAATCTATTTATTTCAGTATAAGATATTTTCGATTGCTGATATAAAAAATTTCGCGTCTAAAGAATTACAAGTGATAAAAAGAGTTAATTAATTCATACACATGCTTCAATTGATAATGGTTTTTAAAAACCACATAATATAATAAAATTCTTAGCAACTTACATTGACAAAAAGTCATGAAACTAATATAACTCTTTGTTACCCTTTTAGTTTTGTAGAATGGAAATAGATAATACAAACAACCAATCCAAATCATTAAATTATATTGGGGTTAGAGCTTCCTCTTAGATTTTATGATGGAGGCTAGATAAGTAGCCGAGTAAATTATTGTGAGATATTAAATTTCTAAAAGATTTATCTTCCATTTTTACATAAACTTAACTCATATCAGAAAAACATTAAAAATCTTTAGAAGAAATTATGCAAATATATTGAAACCTTGAATTATTTACATGGCAAGGATGCCATAAAAGAAATGAAACATTTTGTGAATATATAATAAGAAACAGAATGATATGAAGAAAGCAAATAAGATTTTATATATAATTGTCGCACCACCTCAAGTTGGTATATTATATCTTAAAATAATAGTAGTTTGTAATAATATCAAAAATATACTCGTATTAAAAATTTAACTCAAAACTATTTTTCAAAGAAGAAAAAATTAGCTTTCCTAAAAACACGTAAAAAAGAGAAGAAAAGATATCTAATTTATTACATCCATTATGGAATGAATGATAAGATGTTTAATTTTAATAATAGTATAAATTAGATGGCGTTAAAGAATTTAATGCAAATTGTTACTTATATTTATTATCAAAGGTATTTATTAGTAAAATTTATTATAATATTAACTGTAATTTATTATATAACTGTCAAATACGTCTGTAAAAGTGGCATTTTACCTATATTTTATAATCAATTATATATAATAGAGTTATAAACAGAAATATCTTATACTTATTTGTATGCATGGGAATTAAATTTAAAAATGAATACTATAGTTGATTAGTGATTTTGAAATCGGCTAATTACAATATTAAATTTGTTAATTTTCAATTAATAAATGATTATATTTATTTAATTAAGGTTATATAATAATCTAAATATAAAAGTCAATTAACTGTTAATGCTAAATTAATATTTAGTGAGTGATTTGATATTCTATTTTTAATACAGAATTTGAGAAAGCTGACCTAGTGAAAATATAATTTATATATATTAATCTAATCTAATAATTAAAATAGTATTCATTTAATAAAAATTTATATAGTCTTATTAATTTTTAAATAATAAAATTAAATCTATATATTACATGATAGAATTATAAAAGAAATCGTTTAGGGGGCAATGAAAAAAAATTTATTTTTAGTTCATGGGGATATTAAGGAGTTTTAAAAAAAAAAAAATTTGTTTCAGGGAGCTATTCAAATTTTTCAGGGGGCTCGAGCTCCTGCGCGCCCCTTCCTAGTGAATCAATCCATGCATTTATTTGAAGGATCTGCATATAGTTGACCCTCTATTTTTTCTAAATGGGCAATTAATCTTTCTTTTAGCATTAAATTTTGTGGCAGATTAATAAAAGGCCAATTGAGCTTAAATTTTGGGTGAATTATTAATTTGCCAATATATTACCGGCATCATATAGTGAAGGAAATCTATAATTTTTATTACATGCATATTGTTATGATCTTCACAAATAATAAAAATTGTATTTTTA